ACATCGAACTATCAACACAAGGACATGCAATACAGCGTATGAAATGATCAATCTGTGCTAGGCCTTTCTGAAATCTCTGGTACATCTACACTGAGTCATGAGAGACCTCGTAGAGACAACTCTTGGGTCCATGACCCAGTTGAATCCGTCCAACTAGTTGTGAGTGAAGGACCGGCCGTCGAGTCCTTGGATTTCGGCCTCCGGATTCCCAATCTGGTTTCGAGGTCGCGGGCAGTGGTTTCCTCAAGATGTCGACTGAACTCCCAAAGAAGTGCCTTGTGCTTCTTCCGCACCATAGAAGAGCATGGAGCAGGAAGCCACGTCGGGTAGAGTTTCTGATGGGTTGCCGATACGCCGATCGTAAGCGGGTGCCGAGACATAAACTCGTGGCACAAGTAGCATGCCTTCTTGCTCGTGCCCATGAACAGAAGTCGTGGCGTAAGATCGGGAGCATGATCGTAGAAGCTGAGAAGCTGCATTTCGGCATGCACGGTCAGAGTCATACGACATGCATCTCGTAGCTTTCTCTCGGGATCATCTATAAACCAAATTTGACCCAACTTGTTTCTGAGTTCTTCTGGGTCAGCGGCCGTGATCTTTTTAAGCACCAGCAGCAGAGAATCTCGCTGGTTACCAAGCGTAAATCTGACTTGTTCAGGTGCATCCACGGGCTCGACATGGATAGCCGTGAATACGTCTGGTTGCTTTGAGGCCAACTTGAGCATTGCCTTCGTTGCTGCGTAGTATCGCCCCAACTTGTATATGTGCTGAAGCCAAGCGGGTAACTCTTCATCTTCGGTACCAAGAAAAGTCTCAAGCTGTTCTGAGTAGGCCCATCTGGCCTTCGATGCCCACTTTACGTGTGTGGCAAGCTGAGCCGAATCCAATTTGGGGTCGAGCGTCGTCAGTAGACGCAGTTTGAGTACCCACTGCCTGAAGCCTGTTTCCTCGGCGTCATCCGATTCCAAGTCGTTTGCATCCATCTCTCTGATAGATCTTTCCACAGATTCTCGAACTTTCTTTTTACTGAGCTCCTTGAGAAGCGAACAGATCTTATCTCGGGTTAGGTTGATGACTTTTAGTAAGATCTCAGGCTCTACATCCTTTGCACTCTTCTCTGGCAATTCGTCGAAATTAGTGTCGTGTTTTGCGGTTGCACAGGAAACTGACCAAAATACCTTTCAGTGCCACATCAGTCAGATCAAGCAAAATCTCCTGCAGCTTGATGACGAGCTCTTTGGGAACACCACGATTCCGGGCAAGTCGCAAGACAGTTCCGCTCGGATGGCCCTGCTCCAAGCATACAGCTGCTGCAGTCTCACTCCCAATTCTAGATGTTGATGAGACCAACGCAAAAGAATCGAGAAATTTCTTCTGAAGCTGCTCGTGTTTCCATGAGTCGTCGTGGGGATGCCGATCGAGACTGTGGGTTGTCGGCTCACCGCGCACCGGATCAATCAGTGAGAGAAGCGTCGTTACCACCACGAACCGATCGTGAGCCGCGCCCAAGACATTGGCAAGTTCGCCCGCATTAGACTGCGTTGACGTATCGGGCGTCTCTGTCGTCGTGGCGCTGAATGTACCCTCATTGGAGGATCTGGCAAACGGTGAGCTCATTGCTCTCAGAAAGGAATGCAGATTGAGGGATGCAGGAGGCGATGAGATCAAACAACACCAACTCCATCGATCCTCAACGGTCTGGTTTTGGTGGTTGATATCCCTTCTGCTCGGTGCGCATTGAGCATCCCTTTCAGCGGCTCCATCCAGTCATGTGCCTGAACTTCATTTTGGAGGCCGGGCACATCTTATTGGCTCAACCGATGGAAGATGATTCGCAAATCAGGCCCTTCAACCTTAACGAATAGGGTTCCCCTCGTTAGGCGCTGACGGCAGGTATTAGGTACTTGTGCATTTCCCGAATGACGTTGTCAGTGTCCAATTGCAAAGTACGGCTGTACATTTGCCTGGAACACCACCTCAGAACGACATGCAGCCGAAAGCGACAACCTCGTTTGGACGTCTAACTTTATCGAGCACATGCATATACACGGAACGAGCTATCACTGTTGGTCCCAGCATATAATAAACGAAGAGCTCCCCACTTTCGCGCTCGTTCCCAACTTCCCAACCTCATCTTTTGATGTAATTTTCGAGGCGATAACGGGCGCACGATTTGATTGATACTTTATTGGAAGGGAACCTGTAACACCCAGCTTTGATCTGAGATGGTCCGCCATTTTGGTCATGGGAAACGAACCAATACGGGCATTCCGCCTCGGGGCTGAAGATCCGTTACTCTCAGAGCACAATGACTCTAGCTTGTGGGAAGACTCTTTCTACAGTTACGACCCCCACGCAGCTTCTACAACACCATATGTCACGGAGTCAAACGTTGTGGACACTATAGGAAGTGTTTCTGTGTCCGCGACCGCTATCTCTTACACTCCGTTGCGTTGACAGCGTCCGCCCCCAAGTTTGACCCGGAAGGAAAATTTTCCGCTAGCTTAGAAACCCCTTAAAACCCCCTAAACTTCACGTTTTAATAACTCTATGCGTACGCAATGCGCGTAAATAAAAAATATATCAATCGATAGCCCTCGATTAGGTGATTATAATGATATCTTTTTTATTCTCGCGCATTATATACGCATAGAGTTATCTAAGTGTGAAGTTTAGGGGGTTTTAAGGGGGTTTCTAGGTTAGCGGATACTTAACGCAACGCTAAAAAGAAAAAACGAAACCCCCGGCGCGTTGCGTTGAACTGTCCGCTTAAAAAACCCCTCAAAATTAGCCTTAACTTCACACTTAGATAACTCTATGCGTACGTAATGCGCGAGAATAAAAAAGATATCATTATAATCACCTAATCGAGGGCTATCGATTGATATATTTTTTATTTACGCGCATTACGTACGCATAGAGGTATTAAAACGTGAAGTTTAGGGCGATTTGGTGGTTTTTCGGTAAAAAGCCCCTTTTTTTGCCTTTTTCGGGCTAAAAACTGCGGGGTGGACGCTGTCAACGCAACGGAGTGTATCTCTCCCCATCCGACCTCATTTCTGAACTCTCACCTCCCTCCCAATGCTCTTGAGACGTTGACGAGTCGCCACCGCTTCACCGGGAAGAAAAACCCTTTGGTGAGAAAGCGGAGCAGACGGAGCTGAAGAGTGTCATGACAGAGGTCACGATGCATCGAACAGAAACCAACTTACACGTGGAGACTCGGCCGACGTGTGTCAAACTCACTTACACTTCTACCGCCCCTATCCCTCCCACCATGGCTGCCGCCGGTTTTCCAAAGCCAAGGACTCGCATTCGATGCTATTGGAAAGGATGCTCCTTCAGGGGAACAGACCAGGAAAGTATCCGGTGAGTTTTGCCCCTTCCAGGAAGTATCATTTTACCTTGATTGAGAGCTGATGTCTTCGTGGGTTCAGAGAGCATATGACCCATCATAGGAAATGCCCGAAGAATGACTGCGAGTCACAATTTGACGAGGAAAAGGAAAAGAGGAGACATGTGTGGACGAAGCATGTCAACTGGGCGATCAGTGTCGACTATCCTAAAATCATTGGCCGGTGTGATCTTTGTGGGAAGATTTACAAACGGGGAGATTATGTTGTTCGTCACAAGAGAGAAGAGCACGAGGGGAAGAAGAGAGGCGAGAAATAGTTTGAGATGTTTGAGCTTTTCGAACCCATGTTTCTGTCCACCCACTATCCTCCTTGTCTATGCGCGACTATTGTATCTGCTGTGTTCGAACCTTACTCAAGGCTTATAGAATCGGTTCGAGTAGGAACAATGACAATGGAAGAGATGACAGTGGCAGAAACGAGAACACTGGCGACGATAGTAGTGACAATGACGACGACAGATACAGGAGGCACAGCCATTTGCGGTGTCAAAGTCCTATGGCAACAGAATGAGCACGGAGAGTCTTGCCGAAAATCTGCAAGGCGACCTTGTGTTAAAAAGCAATCACTAAGGAGAATATCCTAGCCCACATGAACCACTCCGGCTGACAGATGCCAATCGAATGAATGATTCACAAAGGTGACGAAAATCATACCGGCCGCACCCCTGCGATAGCACCAAACCAAGCGGTCAGACTTTCCGACAAGTTGGCCAAATTCGTCCCAAGTCGGTGGCCATTCGACTCAGATCATCGACAACACCTTCCGAAAAAAGAGCGAAAAAGGCATTCTCGTATAACTCGAGACGAGGAGGCACTCGGTAACAGCCTAAAACCTCAAGACAGACCAGGGCCATTCTCACGAACCCCTTTCCTCGGTCCTCGGATCGCTGGTTCGATGCGCAAATCTGGCCCATCTCCCGCTCCTGCCAACCAATCTTTTGATACTCTGAACTCCGCGCGACCCGACATTACATAAGATGACAGCCTTAATGCGGCTCCCTGACGCCGATGATGAAACCGTCACTTTGGAGGGGTGTTCCCCAGATTCGGAGGCGCAACCCTGTAACCGACCGACCTTGAGACGTTTCAGCGAATCGTCGTGGTGGGGGCGCCACCCAACTTGGGCGCAATGAGCTTAAAAAAATACGCTCGAGCACCCCTGCCCGCCGGTTAAGCGACGAAGAAAAAGCTGACACAGGTCACAGAAGTTCGGCCATCTCCTGGACTCCTGTTTGGACTAGGGCCGCCTGCACCTTACCTGGCTCGACGAACATTAGCAGTCGCCGCTTAAGGTCGCAAGTTTGTGTGGGGAGTTTTGGGAAGCTGAGCGGCGCCTCATGTCGCATCAAGCTTAATCTTCTCTCTTTTGCGAGAGCGACCCATCCCTCCCGTCTATGACCGGATGGATTTAAAGAGCGCCTCGACGCCTCCCTCAACCCGAGACATTCGTTTTGAGACTCATCCCATTCGCTCACTCTACTTCCAACTTTGACAACCTTCTCTTCGTTTTGGCTGGTCCTTCTTTCTTGTTTCAACTTTAAACTACTATATTCGATTCTTCGACTTTCCATCTTCAGCCGCAAACATGAAGTTCTCCGCCGTTCTGTCTCTCGCCCTCGCCACCGCCGTCGCGGCCATGCCCACCGAGGACCTGTCCAAGCGCCAGACCGTCACGAAGGGCAAGCAGACCCTCGTCTTCAAGGAGCAGGGTGGCGTGCCCGGAAACGAGTGCCTCACCTTCCGCAACAACGGTAAGTTGACTAAGACTCAATTGAACTCTTGGCAAGTGGACTCTCTCTAACATATCACTCAGGCGAGATCGTCAACGCTGCCTGCGTCAACACTGCCGCGGACAGACAGATTACCCCCTCCACCAGGAACGGCAACAACGTCTTGCTCGTCCAGCGCACTTTCACCGCCGGCTTCCGTCCTGATCTCGTTAACAAGGAGGTCTGCGTCGGCTTCAACGGCACTGCCATCCGCGCTGAGGACTGCGCTGGCAAGAACATCCAATTTGTCTCTCAGTCGGGTAACACTCTCGTTGCCTCTGGGGGTGCCTGCTTGAACGGCCACGACAACGCGGCTCAGGTCACTGTCTCCGCCCAGGGCCAGGGCTGTGCTTCTTTCACCACCACCTCTGTCAAGGCCACTGCCCCGTAAAAGGATTTATGACCGGCGGATGTCAAATATCGTGATGGAAGAGGGAGTGGGGAGTGGTGTATAATGCTGGAGATGAGACTTCGACTTAATTATTATCAATGGAAAAGAGTTGCAGCGACTTCTTGTGCCTACACTTATCTTGCTTCTGGATGGTTCACGCTCATACTGCTGATGATTACCCACTTTCCACACGTGATTGCTCTGCCAGCCTGATGTGGTTTGTTGGACATACCCGACTTACCTTATCCAATAGGCAACTTGCCCGCTTCAAACCCACCGACTGAGTAGTCAAAATTGTCCTGACACCCTCCAAAACACCCAGCTCAATAGCACCGGCATTTCCAACCACACAAGATCCACGGATCGTCTCATTCGAGATCGTTTGATTCTGCCATGTCTCGGTGGCATGATGCGGGCTGCCTAAGCCCCCAGGTTGATGTCAAGAATGGGTTGCCAGAGTGTCGCAACTGCAACCAATCAGCCGATCTATCCAGCCTCATGCCCGCGAATACATCATCCTCGCCTTTGATCCCCGTCGATGAACCTTCGGGCTCCATGAACCTATGGTGGCCACGCTCTGTTTCTTATATAAACCAGGCGGAGAGTGAACACAGCCTGACGGACAGTAGTCCCGGAGCGGTCGTTTCCGTCGGCGAAACGGATTCAGACAGGACGGCAACAACCACGATTGCTATGTCAGCACCATCGACCATCTATCCCCAATCTCTCAAACCCACAGAGATTCGGCTGGCTGTTCTGTCCGCAGCTATAAGTCATGATTTTCCGGTCCACCTGGAACTAGAAGTCTACGAACTAGACAACTGCCCCGAATACGAAGCTGTTTCTTACCTCTGGGGAGGCGAAAATGACGATACTACTCTATGCTACCCAGTATACGTCGGTCCTTTCTGGGACGTCCTCTTTCAAACGAAGAATTGCTGGGACATGCTTCGGTACATGCGGCCATGGCGGGGGATTCGTATGGTATGGGTCGACGCTGTCTGTATCAATCAGAAAGATGTGCCTGAAAGAAGTCAGCAAGTTGCTAATATGGGCCGGGTCTACTCTGGATGTACTCGTGTCATCGTATACCTTGGGTCTGACATTGTTACTCCTTTGGATGGGAGGCATCCCCGCCGCCATCCGCTGCGCGACCTTGAATCGGGATCCGCAGTGCCGAATTTCTCTGGACATCAACAACCGAAGTTACCCTTGAATCTCACAAGTTTACTTGAACGACGATACTTTTCCCGCATATGGGTAATCCAAGAAGTTCTCCTCCCCTACCAGGCCTTGATCCGTATAGGAGATATCGACTTTTGGGCTGACGGTTTAACCGCAAATCAAATTTCGCACTTATACACATCTCTGTCCGCTGCAAAATGGTTCGGGCATGTGTGTCGAGCTGTTGAGATTGAGAAGAACATATCACACCTTTTGGAAATGACTTCCAATGCTGAAGCAACAGACCCCCGCGATCGCGTTTTCGGCTTGTTGGGAATCGTCCAAGCGGAAGAGGACTTGTTCCCAAGTGCGCGAGACCGTGAGCTACAAGCAGACTATTCCTTATCGTCTCAACATGTCTTCATCGGTATATTCGCCCACTGTTTGTTGAATTGTGGTCAGGGCCAAATTTTCCATGCATCCCGTGGATCGAAAGCTCGCAATGGGTGCCCGTCTTGGGTTCCGCAATGGGAATCACAAAAGGAATGGCGCCGCATTTTCCGTGGCCCAAACTTCAGAGGCGAGGAGGCCGTACAGCGAGTAATAGCCATGGAGCTTCACACTCGCCTGGTTCCAGAACAGTACACACTCGAAGCACACCTGCTTAAAAATAATTGGGGTATACCAGCAGAGTCGGGAGACCAAGTCTGCAGCCAAGTCTGCGGCCAAGTCTGCAGCCAAACGGGGGCATTGTGCATCAACGTCACACAGTATATGCCTATAAAATCACAGCCAACTCGGATCGGGAAATATAATCAGTACCATATCTTTAAGATCCTTCCCCACCGTATGCATCCGGTATACATCTTCTCAATGCAATTGCTAGACGAGCTCGACTTTCTGGGAAGCGAGCAGGTGTTCGTGCACAATTCGAGCTTGTACCCAGAAAGCCTGACCTACCTGATTTTACGCCCCGTTATCGGCACCCGGAATTCTTTTCAACTCATTGGTGCTTGCCCTCAAATAGTAATTGGTGTGGTAAAGGAGAAAGACTCCCACCCATATTGGTACAAATCCTTTTCCCTTGCAGACTTGCATTCAAATTTGAGATGCACTCTGAAAGCTGTCAAAGAGCTGTGCAAGATGGAGCTCGAGTTCACTGGCCCAAAAGACGAACATTGGCTGATTCGATTATTGTTTCCCCATGCAAAGATCGTTGGAGACTTACTTGAGCCGTTTGCGCACCTAGCCGATGCGGAAGATATTGAAAAGCCATTCTCCCATTTGGCTTTGGAGATGATTGTGAAAGAGAATTGTCTGAAGCTTTGCGACGGCATGGAAGGCGTGGTGGTGGAGTCGGCCTATGTAGTGTTCACGTTCGAGCAACATGCATGGAGGGAACACGAGCTATGGAAACGCTTCATTGAACTATCACGCAATGATTGGGAGTTTCGTACTGAAATCTTCGAATGGACATTCGATCCCTCGAAAATTCATCACAACATAGGTTTACCGGTCGGTGACTGGGTCAAGGTTCGATGCCGAAGCAGGAGCTTCATGCGAAGGCTCTTGAATTCCAACCAGCAGCTCAGGAAACTCTGGGAAGATTTGCAAGCCCTGAGGCACGTTTCGGCTCACACTGGTGAGAGCATTCTGGAGATGCTTGCGAGAGAACCAAGGGAAGAGGATGAGTACATCGCATGTCCTCCTTGGTCTCTAGACCCTTCACTTTTCCACAACCTCGCATTGCGTAGCGCTTTAGGCATTGCGGGAAGAACTCGCACCGTTAAGATAGTATAGTCATTGAACAAGCTGTCTAATTACGGGCGGCATAACTAAGATCTAATGACGAAGTGCTTTGACTGGCTAGCCTTTCTGCTGAAAAGCCACGTATAACAGGGGTACGCACTACTTTCCATTGACAAATAACCCCCCAAACGTATGCACTAAAGAATAAAAAAGACTAACAGGGAAACAAGAGGAGATCGCTAACGTGTGCGTGAGTTTGCTAAGCTACCATGGGCATCACATCATGGATGCCCAGATACCCTCAGTAGCTTCGTCAATCAAAGCGCCCGGAAATTTACTAAGACGAAAACGGGGATCGCAGAAGCGCATCTCAGTAAATCTATACGTGAATATTATCCGGGAAGAGTAGCCTGGTTCAATAAACCCCGAGAGACAAATTCACAAGGTTTCTAACAATGAAGGAAGCAAGAGAACTCTGAAGCTGGGTTACTTGGTAGCAGAGGCGAAAACATACGACGTGGCTTACCAAAGACTGTTGATGAGGATGAAAATATCATAGCACTACTCAGACGAAATCGTCGTTTTGAACCCGTCCTTCCATATTGTCAAACCTCAAGATAGCTACCTGGTCGAGATAAGGATTTGGAAGAAGACTACAAGAACTCGCATCAGATGGATACTCGGCGATCAACTGTTTGCCAACGTAAGAGAAGCTACTAGTTCTGAAAGTTGCTGTCTATTTATCTAATCAGGGCCATCTAGGCTTTGTGGTTGTGGTCAAAGGTGTATCGTCTTGCTTCTGTGCAAAGGTATTCTGGATTCATCTTCTCGAAATATATCGCCCCTTCTTGCAAGCGCCAGGTACCGGCAAGCTCTTCCTTGAAAAGCATCCCTCACCAACACAGTCTAGATCAAAGAATCGGATAACCTCATCAGGCTGGTCCGGAATGTTATGATCAACCCCATGAGCCAAAAACGACTCAAACAGCTCCCTTGTGCCATAAACGCTCTTTGTCCAGTTCGCAACAGGATCATTCTCCGCAACCTCCGTCGGCATCTCACTAAGCCCCAACACCGTAGTCCACATCTTAATCTCCTCATAAAAGTTCGTCACATTCAGCACATTATCCACATCCCCATGCAGCACCTGCATCTTCGGCCTCGGGCCCTCGTAACCCGGATACGCCGCCCTCACAATCTCCGCCCACTCCTCCCCTGTATGCGTAATCCGCCCGCTCGCGCAGTCATCAGACCAGACATCATACCCATCAGCGGCATAACACCCAAACGGCACCCCCGCAAACGCCGCGCCGGCCGCAAACACATCGGGGTACGCCCCGACTAGCACGTTCGTCATCATGGCCCCGGAGCTCGTGCCCAGCGCGAAGACGCGGTCCGGGTCGACGTCGTAGTGTTCGAGCGTCCAGCGGACCATGCTCACGATGCCCAGGGAGTCGCCGCCGCCGTCGTGGGAGAGCGTTTGCGGCGAGGAGACGTCCCAGCAGTAGTCGGCGGTCCAGGGTGTGGACGGGTAGATGGTGACGAAGCCGAGGGTGTCGGCGAGGGAGCGCCAGGGCTTGTTGGTGAAGGCGTCCTGGGCAGTGCCGTGGCACCAGTGCGGGAAGACGAGGAGGGGCGCGCTGGGGATGAGGGAGTCGGGGACGTAGAGGTAGAAGGAGACGTTGGTGGGGTTGGGGCCGAAGGAGGTTATTTGTTGGAGGGATGCTGCTGTTGCGAGGGGGAGGGCAGCGGCCCAGCTTAGGATTGAGCGCATCTTGCGGCGCTAGAGAGGGGGGCTCTGGAGGAATTCTAGAGCCAAAGTGAGGAGGCCAAGAGAACGCCGGGGGTGTAGGTGAGAAGACGGGGGCTGAAGACGCATTTTTATGTCTGGCGAGAGCTACCCCGGCCGCGCTAAAATACCGACAAGCTTCTCCAACATCATGATCTCGGGTTCCCCTCACTGGTCAGACGGCCAATTGAGTTGAATTGAGGTTGCATTTCGCGCGCCTGGTTGGCGGGAACGTGGTTGTAGAGGGGATCGCCGGTGGATCTAGACCATGGAGGTTGGTGCCTCCGTGTCCCAAAACGGGAATGTGGAGACCTTTGGATCCGGCGAGCCGGGATATCGGTGTGGCAGACCGGAAACACGGCGGACTTGCAGGCGCAGAGACCAGCATCGGAGATGGGATATCATGGGGAGGTGTTGTTAGAACAGTTTGCTGAGGACTCAATTGGGGTTTCCTCGAGGCAAGGAGGCGTCTTCGGTTGCCAAGGGGTGAAGCGCAAACAGTCACGGCAAACATCACCCGAAACTCATTGTCCACAAACAGTTCACCAGATAACCAATTGATTTACCGAAACTCCTACAACCAGCTTTTTCGCCCTATTGCACAATATTATGTCAATTGTCGACCGAGCCAAGTCTATGTGCCGTTCTACCCCCTTCCTCTATGCATCGCGACACCCCTCTCATTTTCTCTTCGCGAAAGAAGAAGCAGTTTTCTGAACCTTGGCCGGCGGCGCGGCCTCCGCATCGCTGTCGTCATCGTCATCGGACTCCTCGACATCGTCGTAGTCAACCTCCTCGTCGTCATCGACCTCCTCCGCATCGCTCATGTCGTCCTCCACCGCGGGCTCCTCATCATCGTCATCGTCATCCGAGTCGCCAATGAAGCCGTTCGTCGTAGGGACCTCGTCATCGTCCTCATCTCCCAGCAGCGCCATCTCCGTGCCGTTGGTCTCGGCGCCCGTGGTCTCGCCCTCGATGTAGATAGCAGCCTCCTTCTCCTTCAGGTCCTCCTCATCCTCGTCGTCATCCTCATCGTCGTCGTCGTCGTGACGTGCGTGGCGGCTCCTGCGCGTCCGCTCCTTGCGGATGCTCATCTGCGCCTCCAGCATGTCGAGCTTGCCCTTGAGCGCCAGCAAACTAGGCAGGCCGCGCGAGCGCTCGTTGAGGACTTTTTGCAGCGCGAGTAAACGCTCAAGAACCTTGGGCTGCACAGCCAGGGCGCCGCCGTGCGAGACGAGGGTCCACTTCACCCAGACCATGAGGCTGCCCGCGCGGCCGGGCCGCCTGTGGAAGCGCGCGGCGAGCTTGGTGAGGAGGACGCCGGCGAGGCTGCTGTCGAGGCGCTCGATCGTCTGCTGGATGGTCGCAACCTGGTTCACTTGCAGGCAGGACTCGAGCAGGTCGTTGTCTTCGGTCTTGAGGGCTTGGGTGAGGACGGTGCTCAGGGATGATAGGGACGGCGCGGCGAGGTTCTTTCTTGAGGAGCTGGGGACGACTTCCTTGGAAGCTTCTTGTTGGGCGAGGATGGCGGGGACGTCGATCGTGCCGCGCAGGAGCTCGCCGAAGCTGGGCGATCCGGCCTCGTCGTCCGACTCTGCGGCGGCGGCGTCCGTCTTTTGTGCTTGGTTCTCGGCAGTCTCTTCTTCAGCTCCGTTCACGGGTTCCTTCGCTTCGGCCTCGGCGTCGGGCGACTCCATCTCCTCGTCGGAAGCATCCTCCTCGCTGTCCTCGTCGGACGAGATCTCGATTGGTTCGGCGTCGCCCTTGACGGCGGCTTGTAGCGAGTCTGTCGCGGAAACGGCAGCTCTGCTCTCGTCGATTGTCGTCTTGGGAGCTCGGATCGAGGGCTTGACGACTGGCGGCGCGAACTTGCCGGACGACCTTCTCTTCGCAGACATTATGGCGATTGTTCGGTCGGAAGGGAGGGGGGGTATCTTGGGATTGGTGGAAGAAGGTAGGAAAATTGTTGATTTTTGGGGGGGACCCTCACGCCTCCAGCAACGACAGCGACGAACCTGAACTTTTTTTCTGCCGGTCGCCAATTTTTTTTTCGTCTGGCGCGGATGACCGCCCGCGGGGGATGCTGACGTAAGGGACTTGGACGATCGTACCTGCCGACCTAAGAATGCAAGCTTAGGTAAGGCAGCCTCAACCTGGTTCCGTCGGAGAAGGAGAAGGGTTTGGCCGATTCTCAGGGTCCAGGCAGATGCGCGGACAGAAGAGTCATCACGTGGCGGAACCGGACCTCTGCACATGTCACCCTCCCTCCTTGCGTTCGTCAACTCGCTCTCACCTGCGACCTTCATGACTTTCCATCAAGCTCCATAATGCTACGCGATCATTCTGCCCCGTTCATCCAAAACATTTCCCCTCATGCTATCCATAATGCTGTACTGCTCCATGGCGGCCATCCCCTACTCGTGACTTTTCCATCAAATGGTTGACCCGTTTGCTCTCCATGGCAATAGTGCAAACCTGTTGAGCCTCAAACGCGGGTTGAAATGAGACGCGGTGGCTGTGCGTAGAGCCTAAAAATCTGCTAGAAGCCATTCGCGAAAACGCGGCAGTCTTCAAGCCTCAGGCCGGGCAGAGCACGCCGGTCCTCGAGAAAGGACCTCAACCAAACGCAGGTCTGATTGGTTCAAAGGGCAGAACTACCCACAATCAGAACTACGGAAGCTTCTCATTGGACGACGCGCTGCTCAGGCAAGCGTGAAGCCGTCCCTAGGTGCTATGCCGTATTTGTCTCATCAAGCCCCGCTTTAGCGTCATCCGACACGGTGATTGGGTAAAAACGGTGCTTTCATCCCTGTCCATTACCCTGGCCAGGGTAGACCGTCAAGCTCCCGCAGGGGTCAGCGCGACTTGGCGGGTTCCTACAAATAAGAAGTGGCCCCGATTCCTAAAATTCGCGCCTTTTGATGCGAAAAAGTCCTGGAAAAATTCCACGAAGCTCGCAGTCATCTGATCTGTCACGAGACCGCCGAACGCCAGCCACTCACAGTCCTCGACTGCGCTCCGTTCCAGACTCGCTGCCACCCAGCTGCTTCCTCATCCTTCCGGTACGTACCGATTTTGTTTCTGTCGCCGTTGCGTTGCGCAATGCAGCAGCAGCCGTGTCGCGTCACTCCTTCCTCGCGTTTGCATCTGCTGCTGCACCGCTGCCATTCTCCTTATTCTCTTTCCTTGCGACGGACAGTGTTGGTGTTGGCTTTACCGCCAATCTTAGCCTGTACCTTACACAGAACATTCTATCATTATGTACACTCAGAAAATGACAAACATGCCATGGACTTCTCGTCTCCTGTTTTCTCTGGCCGCTGATTGATGTCGCTTCCTGGCTGGAATCTGGCGCGTTGGCATTCGCTGCGCTGGCTGGTCCACTTCATGTTCACCTCTCACCGCACCGCAACGCAGCACCAGCCTCACCGCACTTACACCTTCATCATCAGCCACATCTCGTAGCTGGCCCTGTTTACTGACTGTATCTTTTGCTATGCATCTAGGTTCTGTTTTCCAAGACTTCAACGAAGGATCAGCTCCATCGCTCTCAAACCAGCCCGATTCACTTCGAGGTGAGTGCGGTTTTCCTCTCTTTCCTTCTTTTTCTCTCACTCCGTTTCGGCTTCCCGCTTCGCATCACACATTCATATCCATCCCGTTCCACGCCCCCATCCCCGTCACATTTCCCAGCCTCGCGCCTTTAGTCCTGATCCGGGCTGCAGGATGCCTCCTCATTGGCTAGTGCCTCCACTCTGTGCATAAATATGCATTTTTATGTCACCCTCCCGGGCCCCTCCCCCCGGTCACCCGCGTCCCCTTCAACTTGCTCTTCCAACCATTTTCTCGCAAAATTGCGATTTCTTCCCTCTTTTTTTTCTTCCCTCGGACCTCCTGCTCTCTTCCTCCTCCCCCCCTAGTCGTCGATCACCCAGACGCACTGACCACCTCTCCTCTCTGACCCCCTTCCCGCCTCCTGCTTCTCATTGCACAGGTCCTTCCTGCCCAACGCTACGCCACTGTTTTTTCATTTCTGCCACTGTTTTCAGGCCGCACCCCTTCTGAAGACTGAAGCACTGCGTGATTGCGCTGCCCCCCGATAAGGCCAGATAACCGGCTGTCCGGGGACCACCCCCAATTCTCTCTTTCTCATAAATAGCACGCGCCGCCATCTCGGCCAAAAACCACTGACGTGCACGCGATTTCCTCCGCCCAGGTCCCTCCACCCTCCCGAACCGTATCGCATCGCCAAAAAAAAAAAACCTACGGACACTGCACCTTCCGTTTACTGGGCGCGTCGCAAATCGGCCGGATTAACCAATCCACCACCACCACCTCATCAGGTCGCCGCATTCAAGCATCATCGATCTGCACAGCCGCATAATTACCTGCGCATTTGCAATCATCCCCGGCGCATTCGCGAATCTTCTTCCCGAGGTTGTCGCGACTTTCACGCTAGCCGCATCCCGGTCATTCCTGCCCGAGTTGCATGCGCGATCCAGGATCGCGACGCTCCTTCCCAAGCTTCCATCCTTTGCGACGGTAGCTTCCCCGCGATCGCGCCTTCGCCGCACCCTCGCCTTCCTCATCACGAGAACCCGAGACCGTACCTTCCATCCCATTGAGGAGAGTCGCTGTCTTCTTCGCTCACCCCCGATCGCGTCGTAAATCAACGACATTCGAACCACTCCCGCCGTCATCATCAGCCCGTCGCATCGCATTTATCCAACTTTGCGCGCGCCGCCATTGATGTCGCGTCGCGCACAATAATTCTATCCTCATCGCAAACACCACATGGCAGTCATGGCGTCACCTCAGTCAGAACGCGCCACCTCGGATCAGAAAACAGTCGAGTCCACGCCTACAAAGGAGGAGAGCAAGCCGGAGACCAACGGGTAAGTGATGCTTAGAGCTGTGTCTTTGCGCGTCGCACTCGATACGAGTATGCCGCGTCATGGCGCAAAGTTGCTTGTACCCAACAATGGAACTGATGTCGTTTGCAGCCACGCCTCACCATCCGAAAAGGCCAGCGAGTCCGAGAAACCCACCGTCAATGGCAACGGCAAGCACGATGACGAGAAGAAGGAACCCGCTGAAGCCGACGTGAGCTCCGCCAAGGATGCCGACGCTGCACCCAAGGAGGGCTCTGCGAAGCCGGATGAGTCACCCGAGGAGCCCAAGGCCGATAAGTCCGACGACGCACCGAAAGACGACGCAAAGAAGGATGAATCTAAGGATGACTCGAAGGACGAGAAGAAGGACGAGAAGAAAGAGAAGACCAAGTCCGACAGTCCCGCAGCTGCCGAGCCGGCAAAGGATGTCGACATGACCGACGCGCCTGAATCTAAGCCCGAGGAGAAGTCGGAGAAGAAGCCAGAGGAGAAGGCGGCTGAGGCATCCGAACCCGCCAAGAGCGCGTCAGATGCCAAGGAAGATGTCGAGATGAGCCAGGACGACAAGGTCAATGGGGCAAAGAAGGAGGAGTCGTCACCTGCGCCGGCTGCTGCAGTCAAAGAGGTAGATCTTCACCCTGCAAGCATGTCACAACTTGCAATTGACCATGACAAGGCAAAGTCTCCAGCTCCCAAGGACGACGACGTTCCCATGACCGAGGCACCCCCAGCGAGCAAGGTTTCTCGCGAGCGAGAAGAAGACGTCGCTGATGAGCCTGCACCGAAGCGAGCCAAGACCGAGTCGAATGCCGATTCGCAAGAGGCCCGTGCCGCTGAGTCCACTGTCGAAGTCAAGCCGCAGGGCGATTTGGCTATGGGCGAGTCTGCTCTCGACACCCTTCCCCTGTGGAACGATCCCGAGCGCGACCCCAAACCGTTGACCTCTCACCAAATACGCGAATTCCGTAAAGTTTTAGCTGGCGTGAAGAAGACGAAGCATGGGGGTCATTTCAAGGATGCTGTCGTCAAGATGTGGCCTAGTCTAGCCGACAGCTACATCTTGCGGGTTAAGAATCCCATGGATATCGGCGAGCTTGAGCGCAACTTGCGCGACAACAAGTACAGCTCCCTGCGCAAGTTCAAGGACGATCTCGGCCTGATTTACAAGAACTCCTGCACGTTCAACGGTGTTAACAACGAGATAACGTCAGCGGCTCTCAATGTCGTTCGGTTGGCATGGACCCGTGTCATGGAGGTCCCCTCAGATGAACCAGCGAAGTCGAAGCCAGTACCCAAGCCCTCTCGTCACTCCGAGACCCGAACACCCGCGCCTGCGCCGCCAGTCCGCAGACAGCCTAGTGTAACTGCTGCAAGCCCTCCGGCGAAAGCTGAGGCGGAAGCCTACGCGGTCCCGCCTGGTGGTGTGCCTCAAGTTCGACGTGCATCGACACAGAACGACCTTGACCGACCTAAGCGCGCCATTCAGCCCACCAAGAACAGAGACCCTGATTACACGGCCAAGAACTTCAACAAGAAGAAACTTTCCATTGAGCTTCAGTTCTGTTACGAGGTCTTGAGCGAGTTGATGGACCAGAAGCACGCGCAGATCAACTTCGCCTTCCTGCACCCTGTCGACCCTGTTGCTCTGGCAATTCCTACGTACTTCACCATCATCAAGCGTCCCATGGACCTTGGTACGATCATGGGCAAACTGAAGAACTTTGATTATCAGTCAGCAAAGGAATTCCAGGGCGACGTCAAGCAGGTGTTCAAGAACTGCTTCAAATTCAACCAGCCCGGTCAGCCTGTCTACGAGAATGGACAGGAACTGGAGAGCATCTTCAGGAATCTCTGGTCCAAGAAGGAGCAGTGGATCGCCAAGCACACCCCTGCAAAGCCTGTATCCGACGGGTCAGCCCACGACAGTGAAGATGAGGCTGAAGAAGAAGAGGAAGAAGCGCCCGCTGCCGCTGCCGAGCCGGCGACCAACAAGACAATCCAAATGCTTGAGAAGCGCCTCAAGGAAGAGACGGAACAGCTAACGCAGCTGTACACAACGGCAGACGCATCGAGCGACGCGATGATTGATCTACAACAGAGTGTCATTGCGACCATCAGACAACGAATTCTGCAGGAGAAGCAAAGTCTGCCGGCTCAGAAGCCTGTCAAGGGAGCGAAGGCGAAGCCGCCTAAGCCCAGCAAGCCAAAGGCCAGTGGTGCTCCCAGCAAGAAGGCTGCTCCGGCCGCTCCTCAAAAGAAGAGTGGCGGCGGCGCGCCCAAGAAGCCAAAGCAACGCTCGATGACCCAGCCCGAGAAGGATGCAATCGCGAACGCTATCAACGACCTCGAGAGTCCTCACATTGAGAGAGCTATTGACATCATCAAGAAGGACACGGGGCAATCGGTACGTAACCTTTCACTGTGCACTTGAATTCGTTTGCTAACAGACTGCAGGAGAACAGCAGCGGTGAGCTCGAGTTGGAGATAGACCAGCTGACCAACGAAGCGTTGCACAAGCTGTGGGATCTTTGCAAGAAGGCCTTGCCCTCGTTTGGCTCAGGCTTGGCCCCAGCAGCAGCATCTGCTCGTGAGGCCTCGCCTGTGAACAGCGCGCCTGCCAAAGGCGCTTCCAAGTCCAGCAAGCCCAAAAAGAATAAGCCGATGAATGCCCAGGAGCAAGAAGCACGCATAGCAGAGCTCGAAAGACTGCGCAACATGTACGGCAGCAAGGGCGGCTCCGACGACGGTCACGAGCGACCAGGTAGTGCCGGTCGTGCGGACGAGGCGCCGATTCATGGCGACAGCGAGTCTTCTGACTCTGAGGAGGAGTAATTGCTTGCGCGTAATCAGCAGCGCGTTTTATGTTGAATCTACAGGAGGGGAAGGAGAGAGGATGGCGACGCCAGCATAGCCTACCTGTGTGGAAGGTCTGGCGTCCTACATGGCTCATGTCAACCACGCCGCGGGGCTCATCCGCCCAAGAGGGTGGCAAGAGAGGCTGGTCCTATGTTTTGGACACGGCCTCAGTAAATCATGACCTCCCGGGTACCGCATTTGAAGCCGATTGTCTGCGCCCGAGGAGTGGCTGCGGAGACAGATGAAAAAGGCGTTGATTTGCGGTGTTACTGGATGCCGCGTTTTGAGAGCATCCACATTATTTGCTAGCAGCATGATTCGGCGAGCTAGCGGTTTGAGTTGTAGAATAAGATGTATAATAATACTCTTCATCCCATTGTCGTAGTGAGGTCGTGATGCCGTCGCTCATCTTGGACGGACGACTCGCGGGTGCTTGCCGATGGAACGGCATCGTCGATGCCGACTGCGTCTTGGGTCTATAGCTGAGTCAGCGCTTGCAGAAACTTCCGTCCTGAGACTGGGTGATCCCGGGTCGACGTCGAGAGCGGGAGGTCGGATCGACTGATGTGACATCGGATTGATGCTGCTTGAATCGCGTGAGATGTGGTGAGTTGGACTTCGGATATGAGCGTTGCGCCCACGCCGAGACTATCTTGAGTCGGTCGGGTGTCTCTCGGATGAAGCTTGATGAAGCTTCTGGATTCTTTCCGAGGTCCAGGGCTGATTGTAGGGTTGCAGAAGACCTTGGTGAAGAGAAATCAAGCCATGTGTGTTTTGATCGAGCAGAAAAAAATGTGATTGCTGCCTGCAGATTGATGGGTTTTTTTTTGCTGGTTGTGGTTGGTGTCCAGGTGGTGGGGAGTGGCAGAAGGGAATGGGTGATGTGTGGTCGAGGGCTCCCTCGGCTCCGGGGGTTTGGTGCGAAGCTTTGATTGGTGTTGTGGGGCGAGGCGGCGGCGCGGTGATGGGGTCCGGCCGGAGACGGCAGGCACGGAGGTAGAGACAACGGGGGAAATGGGTGTCCTTGCACTAAAGGCAGGTTGGCTTTTCTATCGAAGTACGTCTTGGTTCATGGGTTAGGGCATGGTTTGCTTCGAGAAGTCGTGAAGAAGGCATTTGTTCCCGTCGTTGTCATCTTCTTCTTTGCCGCATTGTCTCTGTCGCCGTCGTCCATGCCCCTGCCGTTGTCATCGCTGTCTGTTATTATGATGCTCTCTGCTATCGACGTCTTTATTTCTATGATCGCAGTTGTCGGTTTGGCCATTAATTTATTTAGTGCACTCTAGCAAATCATGATTCTGAATTCATTGAGAGTCCATGACAAAGCCACGCAAACACGGAAGAATTAAGATGCCTCGTGAAGAATGTAGCTATATTGTACAGAGCGAACTGTGGACTCTGAAGCCAAGTCTCTATATGTCCATGGTGGGAGAACTGCTTTGAATACTGACGTTTTTGTTTGGTGAAGCTCTTGTGTTTGCTCTCTTTTGAGAAACCCCGACCTTTTATACTGCAGCGCTTCGCTCTCAACAGTTCGGATCGCTCTCCCCTCAAAATCATCTTAATCCGAGACCCGTAGATGCCGTCGTTTTCGCGGGCGTACTTCATGCTGTCATCAACATCAAGACAGAGACGAAGCCCACAGCCAGCCCCCATCTCACCGGCGGAGGATGCACAAAGCCGTCTGACCCACGAGCCGAGCTGCCGCCTTGAATGATCGCCGTCACTGTCGTGCTCTCCGTCACGGTCACCGTAGCCTCGAGAACTTCACCGCGTCAGACATCTTCCGGCTGTATGCGAAATCGTAACTCACGAGGAAACGTCACCCGGTACCAGGTCATCGGCAGGACATACTGGTCCGACTTGGCGATGCAGAATATGATCCGCCTTGCGTCGTCGCTTCCCTTGGTCTGCAAGACAGTGATTGTGTCGCAGGTCTTCGTCGGCCCGCTATCGCAAGCTTGCATTAATACCACGCATACAGGTTTGTCAAGCGGCTAGACGTACCAGTCAGCCTGCCCGCTCGGCCCCACGGCGAAGTTGTTATTCGAGCCTCCGCAGACCGTCGCCAGGTCGCAGTACGGTGTGCCCCGCGGGCAGCAGACGCCGTACGTCTCGTCGGCGGCGAAGTAGTCGTCCGAGGGACACGTCGCGGAGACCCAGGCGTCAGAGAAGGTGTACCAGCCTATGAAGCCCGTCTTGCCGTCCGGCGAGCGCGGGGGGCCTTGGCGGGGTTTGAGGAGATGGAGGCGGCGGGAGACGTGGGACGGGTCCGGGGCCGGTGTGATTTGTAGGAAGGGGACGGAGAAGGCCGGGGATGGGGAGGTGTTGTCACGGACGGCGGATGCGAACACGGATCTGGGAGAGAGGAAGACGGCGAGGGAAAGGAAAGTTAAGATGTGCATCGTGGGCACGAGGCCGGCGCGGCCTCATTGGGCTGGCGGCGGAATGGGCACGGGCGCGAGCTGCAGGTGTGAAATTTGAGATGGACGGGAGAGAAGCAGGTATTATGTGAGAGGGTTATATTCGAGCGTTGGTGCCATGGCGGGAGAGGGAGATCTTTTCACTGCATGTAGTGGCCGAGGGGTCCTTCACGAGGGTGGGAGGCTAGGCTGTAAACGGCGAGACGTGGGTGCGATGATCCGGGGCGTTGCAGGGCTAGAAAGGATCAGCTGGAGGACCGCGTATGTGTGGGGGTGAGGCTTTGATGACGGTGTTGTGTGCTCTAGGCGTTCAGTCGCTGGGGCAAGTAGGTGAGATGGTGTAAGAGGGTGAGACTTTGCTGTAGACCGTGAGTCTGTGATGGGGCTGAGAAGTCAACACGGCGGACGGCTTGCCGAAGAAACTAAGACTATTTTGGCAACCTGCAGCGAGTTAAAGATGGCGATGGATGCTTCCGTATTCAACATCTATATAAACCTGAATAGGGGTAGTTCAGGAGACGAGCCAGGGCCCATGGATCGAGGTTGATGCATGGCTCAAGCTAGGAATGAGGTTGGCACTAAGCTATTTCCCTGGTGGAACTATCGTGTGTAACTTGCAACGTTTTCTTATGGACATGCTAGTCTACTGGCATGGCACGCAGAGAAAGATGGTTGAGAATGTGATTTGAAATAATACCGCGGTCACTTGGCTGGGGTCTCGGTCGTAAGCTGCGCTAATGCATCTGTGCACCCGTGTCAAGTCGAAGACTTAGAACATGAGCCGAACTAGCTTGCATATTCTCCGGCACGATAATGCAAGATTAGGAATGGTTTGGTTCTGTGTTTCCGTACAGAGGCTCGAAAGTCCGATGTTTGCCGTTTTTGACTTTCCGGGAAGCCTTGACACCGGATATAGCATTCCGGGCTCAACAAACTGGGGCCGAGATGAGTCCATGGTGTCGTAGCATCCTGCGCTAGTTGACAACCACCGAGGAGAAGAGTGAGATTGCGTTGCATCGCAGATTTTTGAAAGTTCTGATGAGAGATTGAGTTGTGGTCGCTGCCGAATCGGCGTCTTTGCCTGAGCACGCACTCGTCTGATGTTGACATCCAAACCGAAGGTCAACTTGGCCCTACAAGGGCTGCAACGTGCTTCTCAGATTCAGCCTTCGAATGTGGTTGCTAGCTTCTGATAATCAACCTTTATCCCCTTCTTCGCTGTAATGAGCACGGCTATCCATCTTCGGCTGCCCTAGTCAACATTGTCGTTGAAAGGATCATTCATTTCGCAGCAGTCGCGCGCCTAATCGACGTGGATGTGTCCGGCAGCAAGAGAATGGAAACAATTCCGCGTCTGGAATGGTTGAAAGACGCTTCTGGTTTTCAACGGGCTTGTTCTCTGAGAAGATGTCTGAAGACGCGCGTTGACTGTCTCGCCCAGTCGTTGAGACAAACGGTAGGTCATAGCCACTGAACTGATTGAAACCACCCCACGGTCATAGCACTCTGAAGCACACGCCCAACTATGCTACTAGTCATAGACCTGATTTCAATCGACGTTTATCTTGTTCTGTTGTTCTTAGAGAGAAAGCAAGTAGCCGAGGGCCTAGAGCTCGAACGTCTTGTACAGGGTCACTCTGAGTTCTCCAGGGAGGAAACAAGGATTCGCCTAACCAAAATGAAACATTGCACAGATTCGGCAGAATTTCTTTGGAAAGTATACTCACTGAACCAAAGATGTAAATACGTTATCAAGGCACAGAGTGATGGCCTCCATCGTCCTCTCAAGTCTCAACTGGTCTCATCATACGAAGAAATCAGTCCGCCTAAACTACAGCATTTTACCAACCTCACGATAAGATTATTCTAACAGCCTCAGAATAGTTACTGCTAGGCTGGTTGCGATGGCTTTCATAAATGTCTGAATCGATGGCCACGTTTTTCAATGGGGATTCCAGGGTGGGCGGCCTTGTCCCGGGCCAACGGCCGTCTTGATCCCGACATCGGCACTTAGTGGCCGGGATGTGGGTCCCGAATCGGAATCATGTAGGGGCCAGCTGGCGGCGATGCTCGCGTCATTTGAGGCATGTCTTTTTGGAGCAAACATCAGCAGTTTCAATTCCAGAGTCCGACAAAAATCCTATCGGTGCTTCTGTAGCCAGTCATCATAAGCCACAATGAGTCTACCTTCATTCATTCGACCCTTCGTCAAGTCTGAGATCTGCACCGTCGAGATGCACACCTCGGGTGAGCCGGCGCGGATCGTCTACGCCGGCTACCCAGATATCCCGTATGTGACCCGCACAGCCAAATGCCTCAATCTTTGCTGATGCTCCGACAGAGGCACACTACTCGAGCAACGGCATGAGGCCCAATCGAAGCATGACCACATACGGCGCAGTCTTGTCTACGAGCCTCGCGGCCACCAAGACATGTACAGCGCCGTGTTGAGACCACGCACCGAGCTAGTGGACTCTGGAGAGGCACATATGGGCGCCCTCTTTCTCACTCATGAGGGGTACGGAATGATGTGCGGACACGCCACGATCGCGCTCGGCAGATTCCTTGTCGACTGCACCGACGAGACCATCTTCCCGCGACGCAAGGACTTGAAGTTCGATGAGCAGGCGAATGAGGTACAAGTTAGGCTGCATGTGCCGGCAGGCATCGTTCAAATGAAGGTCCCTGCCGTGAAGGCGGACGGTAGCTGGAGGACGGACACAAGTAGGCCGGTTACCTTCCTCTCGATTCCCACTTTCGCTATCGCTACCGACCTCACGTTCCACATCACAGAGAACCTCCGATGGGCTGAGATGAATGGCAGAGACAGTATGACTGTCGATGTTGGTTATGGTGGTGCATTTTACATTATCGTCACGGCGTCTGCCTTGGGCTTTTCGCCATCGCTCGCGAAGCCATATTTTCCTGCTCTCAAAAACGCCGCAGATAAGTTGAAGGAAGCTTTCAACTCGAACCAACTTCTGCGGACTCGTCTCGCACTGCCGGATGACAAGCGTCTTCAGTCTATTTATGGCGTCATGGTCACAGATGCCGACAGCGGGGACGACTTGCCAGTCGCTCCAGAATGCAAAGGCGCAGAAACAGGATTATACTTCTTTTCGGACCAAATTGATCGCAGTCCCACCGGCTCAGTTGTCCAAGCCCGAGTTGCGGTGGCAGTTGCAAAGGGAGAACGACAGCTGGGAGAGAGTTGGACATATCACAGTCTGGTGTCGAGAGCTCAAGGAGACTATAAAAGTGCTTTTGTTGGCAAGCCGGTCGAAAAGATTGACTTTGGTAAGATGGAGGGGATTAGAGTAGAGGTGAGCGGAAGGGCGCACTACATTGGTGCAAGCACGTTTGTCGCCGAGGAAGAGGATGATGTCGGTCGAGGCTTTTCCTTCCAGGCACTCGGAAAGTAAGAATTAGAGACGAAGAAGAAGCAGCTCACGCAAAAGCTCAAAGGCTTCGGTTATTATTCAGAACCAAAAGAAATATCTGCACGCACCCTTTAAGGTACTTAACCCGAGATGATGTCAAAAGTTTGCATCGACGTTGGCCTGATTCGAACAGACGCTCCCGAAGGAACAAGATTTCTAGTCTTGCGCATTAGACCACTCTGCCACAACGCCGTGGAGATGAACCCGCTTTGAGACGGGGATGCTGTGGATGCGAAGGCAAGTCGTTGATGACGCTAGCAGAAAACATCGACAAGGGTCTAGGAAGAGATAGGTGGGTTCAGTTGACCCCGACAAATATCTTGTAGATGGTTTCTTAGGAGTCCTTCAGAGTGTCAAGACTCAGGGCATCTGATTATACTCGGGACGTAATATCCGCTTAGAGTTGATTGTAGGCCCACCAGGTGAGCCATGTCACAATCCCGATAATTCCAACTGATTTTAGCCTACCGGTCGCATGCTTGAATAGTCAGTGATATGTATCTCAATGTCGAAAGCCTTCTGAGACACCTTCATCTTCGATTGATTGTATCTTCCAGATTCTACTTGAAGAACTCCAATATAGTCCCAGCAACATCATCAGGTGCCTGCTCAGGAATATAGTGCCCAGACTCAACATTATGTCCCTTCACCGTCACATCTTTGCTGGTAACATCCTGCCACTCCTTCACTGCATCGTAGCACTTCTCAATCACACCATACTTGCCCCAAAGTATCATCAAGGGAGATTGAATCAACCTTCCAGCCTTCAGGTCCGCCTCTGCCTCCTCCAAATCCAGCGTCGCACTAGCGCGGTAGTCGTTGCACATAGAATGCACCGCTGCTGGGTCTTCCAAGACGCTGGCATAGTAATCGAAATTCTCTTTCTCAAAGATCTCCAGTCCCTTCGGTTGTCTGCCCCCCATGAACATTTCCGCGTATTGCCTTGGCGCGGCTGAGATCAGTGTCTCCGGCAGAGGTTCCTGCTGAATCAAGAAGAACCAGTGAAAGTACGCCTTTGCGAATTCGAAATTTGTCGTCTTGTACATAACCAGAGTAGGGGCAATGTCGAGGAAGATGGCCTTCTTAACGCGATCGGGAAAGTCAACAGCCAGTTTGTGCGCCACACGCGCGCCGCGATCATGCGCGCAGACGAAGAAGGACTTTCCCTCATAGCCGAGGTGGTCCATCACGCTGATGCAGTCGCGCGCCATTGCGCTCTTGGCGTAAGATGCCACATCGCCGGGCTTCGAGGATGCGCCGTAGCCGCGGATGTCAATGGCGATTACCGTATACTTGTCGACGACTCGTTCTGCCACGCGATGCCAGATGTGGTGGCTTTGAGGGAAACCGTGAATGAGGAGTAAGGGCGGGAGGGGTGATGCGGAATCCCCGCTCTTAATGCCGTGAATAGTGATCGGCGGGGAGGTTTGGGTGGTGATTGTGAATGGTTGGAAGCCGTCGAACATCTTGGGCGATTGTGCTTTGATGGGTAGATGAGAAGGAGACAGAAAACGAGTTATTCTACTTTTGAAACGCCTGAATTGTTATGTTAACAACTGAAAGTGACGCCGAGCTGATTTTAAGGAGACGTTACGCCCTTGGGTGTCTATTTTCGGCGAATGTTTGACGCGGGTAGTGACGCAACTCCAATCTCAAAGCGGCATCGGGGTGTTAGCTCGGAGGGCGTCCGTCTGCACGCCGACGGTTAACCCCGTTTGATCCACCATCCCGTTTAAAATCGCCGGACGAAACCTAATATTTCGGCCCCGTGCTGGTTGATACACCGAGCGAATTGGGACCAATCTCGGCCAGCTGTCAGCTCGCCGTATATCGCGAGAGCAGCGGCAAAATGATTAGGCGCGGGGTATCTTAAGCCGAACGCGTTCAGAACGAACATGCAATGTTGATAAAAGTAGGTCTGATATGGAAGACTCACGCATTAATCTATAGCAATAGGCGATCGAAGAGGCGACGAATGGCGTGGTTTATGAGCTTTCCAAGTCGACAAGCACGGGTTTGGATTTGGATACAAAATTGGCACTTCGCCCAATTTAATTAAGAGTCGATCGTTGGACGATGCCAATGACGTTGAAGAAACCCCTCCAAAAGCTCTCATGTACTGTGCTGTGCCTTTTTGTTATCCTTTAGGCCCCCAATGTCCTCCACTTGTATTGATGTTACATATGTATGCGTTGCTGATTCAGCTCGGACTCAAGTGCTCGAAAGACTCGTTTCGGTGTAAGAACTAACGCCATTCGTATCCCTGTTCAGGCAGTGATTGTCGGCTGCTACTACGCCCACAATCAACATCAACAGTGTCACGATCATGGGTATCAATCCCACATGCAGCAGGACATCATGGGCCTCCCCAAAGCAGGTATGCGAACCCCCTCTGAATGATCGTCAGCGAATGATGTTGATGCGTGGAGCTAGGGCTTGACACAAAAACTCTCTTGAGCTGCTGGTCGAGGACGGTAAATCGTGTGGTGGTGGGGAAACAGAGGTGTCGCGATCATCCAGGCTTCCAATTGTAGTGGTCGCTTACAAGCGAACCTTGTTGGACTAGCCAAATGTACCCCTAGTCATATCCCCGCGGACAGATTCAATTGGACTCGATCACCAGAGACAGGGGCCAGCGAGAGAAAAGCGGATAATAACCTCAGGGTTGATAACGGATCATAGTAAGCAGAACCCCGGCCAGATAATGACGTGTTTAAAATGCGAGAGAGAGGCGGAGTTGTGACTGATAATGGAATCTTTAAAAGAAGAATGTTGCCGGCTGGTGTGGGCAAAAGCGCTGCGTATAGATCCTGGCTTATCTACATTGTCTCTCGTAGGAAGCACTTGAGAGATGATTTTCGAGTACTCAAAAGAAGTCGAGGGAGGCACCTACGACACCCATGGCCTCGACTGCGGCATTTCTCTCCGCCAACACAAGCAGCAGTGCAGAGAAATTGACGGTGCTCTTCGCGTCCAACGAGAATGGACCAAGCTAGTCAGCAATGTGGAAGGTTACCAAGGTGGCCTCGCGGATGACTTCTGCTTCATCTCCGTCACCGTTCCAGAGTGCCTCCCAGATCGCCTCGAAATCATGTCTTACGCTAACGAATATGCGTTTCTTTACGACGGTATTCCGATCTGGTGCTCAACTTGAGATGTTTTGCTAATAGGGATCCATTAGATGCAATGGAGAAGCTCAATTTGAAGAATGATAAAGACGACCATGCGAATGATTTCTTGTCGACGTTTGGTAACGGGGCATTGAATCCGAATTCGGTTGCGAACGCCAGGCCAGAGAAGCAATTGCAAGCAAAGCTGCTGCTCGACATGATGAAAATCGACCGACAGCGAGCAATAACATCAATGACTGCCTGGGCACGATTTGTTCAGTTGGCCGCAGACACAAGAAAGGCTCCGCCAAAGACTTTGGAAGAGTACATGCCCTCACGTGCCATTGACGCGGGCGAGCTGTGAGTATCCCCGTCCTATGCATGGGCTAAGAGATGTCCCTAACAGTGATTTAGATTTTGGTTCGGCACAATAACCTTTGGTATGGCCATAACCATTCCTGACCACGAGTACGAGTTGTGTATGGATTTGGCTCGACCATTATACATCGCTCTTGGACTTGTCAATGACCTCTACTCTTGGGAAAAGGAGCGTGATGCTGCTGCCGAAGAAGGACAAGACCACGTGTTTAACGCCATCTGGGTTATCATGAATGAGCGGGGGATTGGCGTCGACGACGCTAAGGACATTTGTCGCGAGGAGACAATGAAAGTGATGTCGACTTATTGGAATACCGTGAAGGCCGCGCGAAACAACGAAAGCCTCTCTGATGACTTGCGGAGGTATCTCGAAGCACTACTTCTGAGTTATAGCGGAAACCTTGTGTGGAGTATTTATTGCCCCCGCTATCGGATTTGACCAACCTTGTACCTAGTAAGCAATACAGGCAATGTCTAGATTTACTGATGAGAAATAGGTTTGCTCGTGCAGTTTCTTAGACTGTTCTTCAGGGCTGTCGCTTCGTCGTAGAAGCATATCTCGAGCTTTCGTAAGATGCAGACGTAGTAACAGTGAGAAATCATATACCTAAGGTAGCAGACTATATGTATTATCATGTGAGGATGAGAAACATGATGACCACGGATATACCATAAACGGAACGAATCAGATTACATGGCGAGTGTTACCATCAGAACCAGCCAGGGTGACATGTAGAACAGGTATATGCAAAGCAACATGAACAAACGCTTTTGAGTTTGTAGCCGAAAGCATCTATCGTACCACACAAGTCGATATCATTGCCCAGATAGTGAAATGAGCAATGAATTAGAAAATGTAACCTATATGACTCCCGAATTTCGAACTGGAGACGCCAAACAATAAGATAACACAACCAAGAATATTTGAAACCATCAGCTGTACTTTTCCACTGTATTCTGAAAGATTCTACATGAAAACAGATATGGACTCCCACGCATACTGTTGCCTTTCCCTACTTGCTGCTACAAATGCCTTAGACGAGCTCTGCATGGAGGAAGTTCGGTTCTGGGTGCGCTATATCTGAATGTAAATGAAATACCAATCTCGGAAAATCTGTCTTTGATACCGGCCATGCGAGATCCGCGCTTGGGATATGCTTGATGATCGAATATTGAGACGTATGAGACAGTTTCAACTTCATGTAAGTTCGCAAACATGACTGGAGCCTTTCGAACCAATGCATCCAGCACTTTCTTCATAACAGGCCAACATATTACAGCTGTGACACGTAGTACTTTCAAACCTCTTGGTAACTTTGAAAGAACAGTCATTGGATTGTACGTGCCCAGCTGAGTGGACCAGTCGGTGTGCGGCCCAGGAATGTGACCGTCCAAAAGTATTTGATCTATCTCGAGTGATTCGAGAACAGAGTAGTTGCGAAAGGTCAGACGTGTAGAAACATGCGTCCCGCGTAGCTCGTGGTAGTATCTTGTCTGAAGCCATCTGAATCTGCTAACATGTTCAGGGCATGCGCATTCAGATGACGTGGCATCTTCAGAGCTGAGCACTAGGCTACGTAGCGTTTGTCTTGGGGGAAGGAGTGTTGGTTGAGGACCCGGCAGGACGGTTTCGACGTAATAATCGGACACGGTAAGTTCTTCCAAATTGCAAGCGCGCAGTAAAAGTCCATTTGTACGACTAAGAGCACAATTAAGAACCCTATCGACGCCAGAAGTTGGCAGTAATGCCAGATACTTCAAGTTTGGCAAGACGATACATCATCAAGCCGAGGCATGGAGATATTTTAAGCGTATCGAAACAAACTTCAAGACGAACAAGCCATATAACGTTAATCAAATTGAGCGTCTCACATTATCAAAGCACAGCACCCTGTTGAAGGAACTCAAGGACATATACACAATCGCTATAGCGTAGTAGTAGTTAATAGGGGCGGTTAGATATATAGGGGGTAGTTAGAGTAAAGGGGACCTCTTATATATCTTTAGTTATATAAAAATTCATAAAAGAATTAGGCAGTAGTATATTTAATATACTATTAAGCCTTACGCTAGGGGACTAGGTTGTGTGCGCAAAAATCTGCACACTTCATCCTAGTTCTTTTAGGTAATTATAAAGAAGCTATTACTACTTTTAAAGTAGTAATAGATAATATCAATATAGTATAATAATAATATCTTAATATTAAAGGAGTAATAAGTTATAGTAATATAAAGAGGGAGATACTTACCCCCTATAATTAAAGCGATTTACGCTCTCTTTATATACCCCTATAGGTAGCTATAGAGGTTTCTCTATAAACTATCCTAGCCCTCGATTATTTCCCCGTAAAAGTTATACAGCAGTTAATAAAGTGCGCCTCCAGGCGGCAAACTGCGAAGAAGAAAACTTAGAAGGGAAGAAAGATTTAAGTTTGGCAAAGACTGCGACGGTTGTTGCAGAACTTGATATTCTTCTGTTTGAGGTCTCCTGACGAGAAGATGACGCACGGAGGGCAAGAGACCTATCGCTAGCTCCTGCAGCCAGAAAAGACTTGCAACACTCCATCGACAAGGAATCTCCGCTCCTAGGCCGATGTTGTCGGCTGTGTCACGAAAAAGTTGGAATGTCGAATTCGGAACATCGCAATTGCCCGTGGAATAGGTAGGCAAATGAGCAACCAACGCTAATGCGTTGACCGAACTTGCCAGATCAGGTCGGCTAATGACGCTGTACAGGAAGGATATCATTTTGCCGTTTTCGATCATTCCGTTGTAGTTGATATACTGCGAAAGATCCAAGCCGCCTGGTGGACTGAATAGGGCGTCACCGCTGTAGTAGTAATGGAACAGAATAGGCTGTGCTATATCTCTCAAGTGTCTGCAGGTACGAGAGAGATTGACGAGACTACACTGTCCGATGCGTCCTTCTTCCCATGTTGTGTGCGGGACATCGATGAAGTGTGGGAGTTGACAATGAAGACAAAGGTATCGACATATTTCGAAGAGGAGCTCGTTTGGAATTGCTGCCAATGACGGTCCTTTTTCGTATCCTGGAAGGCGGCCATGCTGGAACTTGTTGTTGATATGGCCCTTTGCGGCCATCATCACTCCTCCTGTCGACTGGCTGGCTGCAGCGGTGCAGGCTGAATTGTGCTATGCAAGTTTTGAAGCGACTCGGGATGTTGGACCGGACAACCACTAGTGAAGAAGAAAATTACCGGCGAAAAGCTTTCCGGCGATAGTGAATGGCACATTTTATAGAAGCAAAAGTTTGTCCCTCAAGGTGCTGCCACTCAAGGCTTGCCGTCGCCATCGGAAAATACCAAGACTTCGGATTGGCCAGCCCTTTGTGGCATGACAGATAAAGATGAAGCCACAGAACTCTAGTCTTCGGGATAGTTTTCACCTGCAGCGGTTTTACCTAAAAAGATGCAAAGTACTATGTGTGTGCAGATGTTTTCAGACGCTTTTAGTTAGAGGCTGAGTGGTCACGTAGACTCGTCCGGTTTTCTCTATCAAGCCTCATTCGATAATTCGAGGCAAAAGCTTGGACGACATGACGCTTTGTTAGTACTTGCTGTAGGCAGAAAGCCGCCATCCAGAAAATCATGTCCCACTGCCCTTTCTCCCAGAACACAACAGAGCGGAGTCATGTCGAAAACTCGGCATCGGCGCCGTCCCTGCAACCACCCGAGCACATGGTTCGTCTCAACTTTAACTAAGGTCAAATACCTTTTTGAGAGTTTGGAGGGATGCGGTTTTCGCTGAGTACCGCTGTTCTTAGACCATGTCGTGAAGGTGCAAACCCCCAGAAGAAGTACGGATACCACGCTTGTTTCAGTAAGCCTCCATTGTAGCCAGGGGTTGTGGGGTGCGACATGTATCGTTCCATCGCATATGCCATACCGTGTTTCTGGCCCCGCGTTTGAGTCAAGCGACATTTCTATCGCATTGGTAAGGCAGGTGAGTTGCACGTCTGGTAGTATTGGTCAAAAAAGCTGAGCGGCAGCTGAGGAGTCTGTAGCAACTCTCCCCAAGCGCGTTGGTTGTTTTGGAAAATTTGAGTTGGCCCGCTAATCGAATTCATCCCATTGAAGCTGACTAGCTGGAATGAAGGCCGAATTATATCACTTCTGCTGGAGTTACATGTACTGACTTGAGAAGCCATTGACAGCTCAACATTCTTAACTTCTCGCGAATCCTCAACCCGCGTCTGGCCTTTGGAAATGTGGGACCATAAGATCCCACCGGTTCATTCGGATTTGCAATACACTTTCTTCAACATCATGTCCTGAATCGCGTTCGTTCCTGTCTTTTTCTGTGTCTACAGACTCCTTACTAGAACTTTCTCGTGCTTTAGGAATAAAGCTGCTCACTCGGCTCTTGCCGATTTGGAAAGTCCAGGTGCCTTGAAACCCCAGCGGATGTGTACCGAAGCGCTTTCCCCATTGGGACTAGCCTCATGATCGAGATGGTTTCAGGCCCTGAGGGTGACATGAAGCGATACCCTGGAACAGCCCAAACCCCTCTGACAATCCAAGCCACCCTGACGGCGGCTTCCCTAAAAACAGCTTCTGCGATCTGAAAAGTCGCCGGGAGCCCGAATCGGCCCAGAAATATCGAAGTATATATGGCCTAGTGTATTCGTCATCTGATCTTTCTCCGTTCTCACCAGCCATTCAACTGTTCATCATCCCATCTTTCGCTTCAATCTTTAGTTCTATTCTACTATTCCATTCTTTCGTTCGCTCAGGAGCTTACACTACTGCGGCCGGCCCACACATCTCGTTTACACCCAGACCTCCCGTTCCTTTCAGACCTGCCTCTTCCACGCACAATTCAATATGCGCTTCACCAACACCGCTGTTCTGTTGCTTTCTGCCGCCGTCTCGCTGGCTGCGGCGCTGCCCACTACGTCTCAGGTGGATGCAGCACTAGACAAGAGGGCTCTGGTGGATCGTACGTACGCCGAGATCCAGATCTCTGATGGTGTAGCCGGCAACGCTGCCGACGAGGCTAAGGCCAAATTCCCCGTACGTTCATCCGTAGTTTTACTGGCCCCCTGATGGCACAAGCTATGATCATATGCTAACCAACGGGCTTAGGTTGACCCAGCGACGGCTTCTGCAGCAGACCTCCAAGTTGTCAAGAAAGCAGCCCAGCTGGTAGGCGATGCTGAGAATCTAGCATTCGTCCCGGCAAACGACAAATCACAGGAGGCTTCCAACGGGTTCATCAAGAACAAGGTTTTGAAGAACTACTTGGGCTTGCTATCCCTGCAGATTCAAAAGGCCCAGGGCGCGAATGTGGCCAACATTGATACCCGCATCGCAGGGGAGCAGACGAAGCTTGACAAGAACACCAACACCGACAAGCAACATGCGGGCCAGGCGAGCAAGGGTATTCAGTTCAATGGTTAATATGGGAAACATGAGTTTTCAACCCGACGGAATGCCCGCTCTCAAGAAGCTTTATTGGGCAGTGCGGGGGGTTTGATGTCCTACTGAACTCCGATGGAC